AGGGAGACTAAAGGCAAAGTTATTGCAAATAGTTCAGATAAACAATAATGAAAACTGCCCTGAACAGTGTGACTCAATTGGTGGGGTGTCATCCTGCAAAACAAAGGGTTGCTGGTTCGATTCCCAGTCAGGGTAGGTGCCTGGGTTGTAGCTTGGGTCTTCAGTCTGGGGGTGTGTGAGAGGCAGCCAATTGGTGTTTCTCTCTCACACTGATGTTTCTTTTCATCTCTTTTTTCTTCCCTTCCCTTCCCTTCTCTGTAAAAATAAATAAATCTTTTTAAAAAGAAAGAAAGGTTGAAAAAATTCATACTAAGGAATGGCCTATTTTCCATCTAAGTGGTCAATGTGTGAGAAACAAGGGAAAAAAGTAAAATCTGGGGCCATATTTGGTGTGTAAATTAGGGGAAAAATACTACAATCATCATAAAAAGCAACATCATTGATTCTTGTGGTGCTAGAATGCTTCTATATCTTGTTTGTGGAGACAGATACACAAATTACAAACTAAACAGACAAACACACGTGGATCCAAGAGAAATTGGGGAAATCTGAGTAAGATTGTGTATCGTTGTTACCATGGTAAACTGGGCAAAGTTTACATGGATCTCTCTGTGTTATTTTGTACAACCATGTGTGAATTTACAATCAGTTCGATAAAAATTTCAATCGAAAATCATAGCAACATAAGAATATTTTCAAACAAAAAACTATTAATCCTTCTTTGGATGCAGAGGGAGAAATTTAAGGCAATTTTTTTCACAATTCTGCACCAGAATTTAGATTGATTTTACACTTTTATGAATTTAGATTGATTGCATTTATATAATAATTTGGAAAAAATAAAACCAACTGGACTCAAAACTGAGATAGCAGTTATTTAAATATACCTTATGCAGTTTTTAGACAACAGTTATTGTTGGTGCTTTCAGACATTTTGCATTCTTATTAATTGGGAGAGGAAGATAAACATTTATCAAGCACTTCAAGCATAAGTCATTGCTCTAGGGGCTTTACATAGTTCTCTGTTTCATGTTAAGGAAGAGGCAGGCATTATTAGAATTATTAATGCACTTTACAAATGGCGAAACCTAAGGGTCAGAGTGCATAAGTACTTGTGCAAGGTCACAGAGTATTGGGATAAATCTATGTGTGCCCTACTTCCAAGCCTAAGCACTTTCCTAGTATTTAGGGGCTGAAGTACAAACAAAAGGACATTTAAAATATTGTTTCTGTCATTGACTTGTCTGGTTGATCTCTACAGTATCTGCATCCAATATTTAGAAATTTGGAATATAGTACCTTTACGGTAATTGGTATGGATTATTTCTGCTCAGTAAAACATGTTTAAAATTAGTGACGAGAGCTTTCTATAAAATATTTCACAAAAATAGTGTTAGATACTATTAGAAGACTTCAGGAAAGTTCCCTCAAACTTCAAAAAAAAAAACAACCCCAGATATACAAACATTAGGAAGGGGTTTACAATATCTAACTTTTATTGAATGCTTACTGTATGTCAGGTACCATGTTATGTAACTTACAGGTTGTTCAAAATTTCACAACAAATAGGGACAAAACCTGGGCTGTTCAACTCCCAAAGCCATACTTCTAAACCATTAGGCTAAGATGCTATAAAAATCTATCAAATGAAAATAATGAGGGATAAGAAACAGGGAACTTTACCTCAAAGTTTATCACAGTCCAAGATCAGTGACAGGGCCACCATGTATTTAGTTAGATGAGTTGACTGGGTCATGTGAGTTGGGGATCTAAGTTGGGTCAATGTGCAAAGATCAACGGTTTCTTCAGGTCAATCATCTTCTACCCCATTGTCTCATTTTATTTTCTTCATAGCTCATGAAATCTACAATTGTTTTATTACTTGTCTGTCACTTGCTTAGACTCACTAGAACATAAGTTCAATAAATCAATGATGAATTTCCGGTGTCTCAAGTTGCTCCTGACATATAAATATTTGTTTCTTTTCTTTTTTTAATTGTTGTTCAAGTACAGTTTTCTGTCTTTTACTCCCATCCCAGTCCACCCACCCCCTGTGCTCCCCACTTCCCTCCCATTTCCACCTCCCTTAGTTGTTTTCCACGTGTCCTTTATACTAGTTCCTGTAAATCCTTCCCCTTTTCCCCTGAAATTCCCTCCCCTCTCCCCTAAATATTTGTTTGATAGAAGCATAAGTGATTGGACTTTCCTTGACTTAAATGGCTGGAGAAGAGGGGGGCGGGAAATGAATATAAACTAGTATTGCTAAGCCCTTAAGTCTGGGGGTGGGAGTTGAGGCATTAGAAATCTGAAGGCCTAAGTTAGTGTCTAAAATCGGGGTCCAGCTGGAGTAGGATAGAAACCGTCACTTCTCCATTTGGTCTCAGAAGTTCTACCATCGAAAAAGGTTTATTGAGAGGAGGGGAATCTATTTAGTTCACTTTTAATATGTGAATCACCTCACATCATGCATAGCTTTAATTAGACTGCAGACCTCTAGAGGCCTCCATTGAAATTAGTGCCAAGTGTATGTACATATTGAGCACTGGTCCACCTAGGTATTATGGATTCTTTTAGAGGCATCATTACTGATGCTATTATAAACCTTGCTAGTTTTACATCATCTTTGAGTAGGATGTATATAAAGAATGAAGTTTGGAAAAAAAGACAAAGAATAAAAATAAAAATAAAGAGGTTGAGAAAAACATAAGTATCACAAGGGAAGAACCAACATGAGTAGGTAAAAGGAGGCATCTGAAGTATAGAGTGGGAAGGCAGCTCATTTTAATGAAACTGGGGAGTGTCAAGGGAAAAAAACTGTATCCTCTCAAATGGACTAGAGATAGTTGTTAAACATGAGTCTTACAAAAGGAGACTCTAGGCAGTTTGAAGTTTCAAGGAATGCAACATTTAGAGAACAGGTTCTAAAACTATTTGGTTTCAGTACCCTTTTACACTTTTAAATTAAGGACCCCAAAAAACTTTTATGTGCCTTACATAAATACTGATATTTAGCACATTAGATATTAAAGAAATTTTAAGAGTACTCATTATCTTATTTAAAAACAATAAACCAATTAAATGTTAACATACAAGAACATTTTATATGAAAAGTGTTGACCCTCTAAAAAGCATATTCTACTGGGGTGGCTCAGTTTGTGGGAGTATTGTCCTGTAAGCTGAAAGGCTGCAGGTTTGATCTGTAGTTGGTGCACATGCCTGGGTTGCGGATTCAGTCCTGGGCGGGGCTTGTGCAAGAAGCAACCAATGGAGTTTCTCTCTGACATTGATGTTTCTCACATTGTTGTTTCTCTCCTTCTCTCTCCCTCCCTTCCCCTTTTCTCTACAATCAATAAGCAAGTCCTCCGGTGAGGATTTAAAAAGAAAATGAAGAGCCTACTAAGAAGGACTCCTGATGGCTGTCACACAAAACTGCTGCTAAAACTGCCTACCTCCCTCACTGAACTGCCTGTCTGTGGTTCTGAGCCAGTATTTACAAAGATGTTCCTGAAATCTGATTTTAATCAATAAAACTGAGACTTTCCCCATCTAATCAGAGCTATGCAGCTATACCTTCATTAGCATCTTCACTGACCAATCAGAGCAGCTACCTTCCGACTAATTAGGACAGTGCTTTTTAGACCAATCAAGCTGTGAGGATTTGGAGTCCTCATTTGCATGAGGGGCTCAATCAGGGAGGGGGAAGGAACTTCTCCCTATACAAGTCAGATTCCCCTGTGATTTGGATTGCACACTTCTTTCCACCCACTCTGTTTCTCCAGCTGGAATTGAAACTCTGAAGATATTAGCAGAGCAGTGCTTTCTACCCAGAGGGGGGTCTCCTCTGTGCTGCTTCATAACTGAGCTGTAATACTGTTGCAAAGCTCTACATGCTGTATCAAAATTGATCTGTTCGCACATAATTTTCTTCTTCACCAAGCCCCAAATTGGAGCCCCTCTTGCCTTGAATTAGCACTAACTTCATTGGTAACAACTTTACAAAACAAAAAAATTGAGTGGCATGCTTTTACATTTTTGTAAATCTGTCTCCTGTAACAGCAGATGACTGTATCCTAACATCTGCTTCTGTTTTCAGTGTTTCCATATCACATGTCATGTAGCCTCTGGAAAACACTGTGAGAGGATGAGCGTGCAAAAAGCGAGTAACTTTTTAGTAAGTACTTTTACAGGAATACTTTTGACCTCCTCCTTGAAAGAGTCTGGGAACCGGGACCACACTTTAAGAACCACTGTTTTAAGAGTGACTATTAGTCAACCCAGCATCAATTGAAAATTAGCCATGCTGTTTCACAGTCCTGAGGATTTACTTTTTCAGAAACATTAAACGTGACCATATCCACTGTAAAGCATCCAGAAAAAAAAAATATGCCACTTTCATCCATCAGAAAAAAACAAAAAACCAACTAAAGCAAAAATGAGAGACCACACGCCAAGTAAAAGGGTTTTGGAGTAGAGCTGAGGAGAACCTCCAAAAGCCAAGGAGATCCACCCTTTAGGAGAAGCATAACCGGTATAAGCCGCCGCCGAGGTGGTCCGCAGGGAAGAACTGTTGTTCTTAGGGTTGAAATGGGCGGGGAGACAAAATGGTTCCCTGGAAAGGGGAGTTGGAGGGAGTAGACTGGGACAGAGCGAGTGCTAAAGAGCGCTCGCCATCACCCTGTGGCGAGCGGGGACTAGACGGCTGGCCCCTTTGCTTCGCTTAGTCTGTCTCAGGGCCTTTCCCCGGAATGAAAGGGGTCTAAATTTCCTTTCCAAAGGATCGGGTGAAAAAATAGAGATAGCCCAGGGCATATCAGGGGGCGGAAGCGGGAACCATGGAACCCAAGCTGGGTGTAGAGGGCGTGGAGGTCGTCAGGGAAGAAGGACGTTTCTGTTGCTGTGCAACCTGTCCTAAGCCCGCCTCCCGCTCGCGTTGCTAGGAGACGGCGAGGCCAGGCGGAGGGCGGGGGAGCTGGTCCTACGTGCTGACGCTAATTGTATATGAGCGCGAGCGGCGGGCTCTCGGGTCTTTTTTAGCGCCATCTGCTCGCGGCGCCGCCTCCTGCTCCTCCCGCTGCCACCCTGAGTCACTGACTGCGCAGCTCCGGCCGCCTGGATACCCGTGCTAGCTATCGGTAACGGACTGGGGCCTGAAAGAGAAGGGGGAACGTAATGTCGGCCGCGCGGTCGGCGCCGAGGGGAGGGACGGAGGAACGGGGAACCGAGAGCTGGGGCCACGGGCCGCCCAAGGCCTCCCGGCTCGTTCTGTGGGCCAGAGCCGGACCCGTCCGCAGAGTTTCGACTCCGTAGCCCGAGAGGCTCCCGGGATCGGCCAGCGCGTTTTCTCGGGAACGGCTGAGGAGAGGCGGGGGTTGGTGAGGCCTGGGAGGGCCGGGGATCGTGCCAGTGTGCGCCGAGGTACGCTAAGCACCACCGGCTTCTCCGCGCGGATGGGGGCGAGGCCACGGCTTCTGCTGGGCGTCCTGAGAAGGCGACGGCTGCGCCGCTGGCTCCTGGGGTGCGGGGTGGGGGCCAGGCTCGACTGCATAAGCTGTTGCCGCCACCACGACCCCGTTTCCTTAAAACTAATACTCGGAGGAGGCCGCTGGGGGATGGAAAGAACGGTGGAGGCTGCGAATTCCGATGGGTGGGAGGGGCTGTGAAGGGACGAGGCCCCTGGGCTGAGAGGGGGCGGGGAGGCTGCGAGGCTCCGGGGCTCTCCGCCTACCGGGGGTGGAGACTGTGCTGGGCGGGGAAACCCCTGCGGCTTCCCTCTGCACGTGGCCGCCATCTGCTACAGTTTGGAGACCCCAGCTCCTGTTGCACTTACTGTACCTTGTAGAGAAGGTGGGGTGTGAAAATGAATGATGAACAATAAGTCCAGCCTGGTGTCAAACTCTTAACCTGCTTCTATTTGGGCTTAATCTTTTTACTGGTACAGGAGAAAAGTATGCCTGTTAGGTGATGATGCAGGGTCTCCATTACTAGAATTTTTAAGGATTAATGTGTGTAAAGTGTTTATGTTAGATGTACTCAACAAAAGATTTTTTGGTGTACCTCAGGTACAATTTGAATTTGGATGGGTGTCTTGACCACGCTTTTTTATTCGGAAAGGATTGATCCTCGAACTGTTTCAAGGTGGCAATACTAAAGAATTTGTCTTGCAGTGTCTTTAACTCTTTCAGAACTTCTGTTGCTTTCTCACAAATTAATTCCTTTATGGAAGTTCCCAGATAAGATACTTAACAAGCTGTTTAGTTTTTAAGATGAGTGAGGGTATGGTGGAGGAACTGTAGAGTAGAATGAAGAGCAATGTAAAGTTAGCCAAGTTTGTAACATGCCTTGTCTGTGCCCCCACTTCAAAAAAGGAGACAGTGAAGAGAAGCAATAAATGAATCTTGTCTAGAAGGGCTAGACTTCGAGAGTGCAAAAAATGAACTGGGTACAGGATGTGATCGAGGAGCCCCTGTTTTTAGACTGTCCCTGTCTGATTAGTTTTGTAAGGATTGCACTTTAGAAAGTCAACACTAATTGCCTGGTTTCAGGGGTACTGAGCTGTAAAATGAACTCTGCCATTCTTGAAAACAGGTAATAACAAAATACCTTTTCAAATTAGCATTTAGGTAGGTCCTGTTTTCTTGTCAACTTTAATACTACTCTACTTTCTGTACTTAGAAAGTAAGCCACATTAACTTTGGATAAGGGGGAAACTATATGTGTAAGTCATCACTAAGTGCATGGATGAATTATTTGACTTTAAGTGAAATGATGTATAAGAAAACCAATGTACCATAGGCTAATCAGTATAAAAGAGTTAGGTTCCTAAATCACCCAATCAACTTTAAAATAAAACGTTAAATGAAACCATGATACTTGAGGACCTGCTGGATATAGAATTAACTTAAAACTGATAGGAGATAAATGAGATTTATAGCGATCTTTTGGGAGTATTGAGTCTCAAATGCTTGTTCAAAGTTATCTGAGTTTGAGCCAAATTCAAAATATGCAGTTTATTTTCTAGGAAATCTGGAGGGTAGATGAAGCTAAACATTGAGTGGTAGGTTGGCTTGGGTATATAATATTGTACAAATCTTGACTTTATAGATTGCCTTTTTTGGTAAATATTGCGTTAATATAAATAGCGTTTTAAAAATTCACCATACCTGTTTGAAAATCTTTTGTAAATTTTATCTGTACCAGAACTAATCCAAAATGCAGTTGCTTGTTTTATTACTTACTTAACTTATGTATACCGTGTCCAGATGATTGATTTCATTCTAAACATTTATTTATTTTTATTTTTAGAGAGAGGGGGAGGGAGAAAAGGAAAGAAACATCAGTGTGCCATTGCCTCTCGCATGCCCCCTACTGGAGGCCTGGCCAGTGACTCCGCGGGCTGCACACAACCTACTGAGCTACATCATCCAGGGCTGATTCTAAACATTTTAAAATATATATTCAGTACAGAGTCCTTTCGTGGGAAAGGGGGCTAAAAGAAGTAGAATCTATTTGACTTCAAGGTGTGAAGATGTTACAAAACAAAATTAAGCCAAGTGAATTTGAGGATCTAATTGACATTTTTAAGGAATGGGCAGCATCCCATCCAGCCCTCTGAGGGCTTGTACCAAATAGAAGGTTTTTTTTTAATAGGAAGAAAGGTAAGGCAAGGTTGCTGTTAACAAAAGAAAGGGTTTTCAGCAGGGAAATTTTGGTCATGCAGTTGCCTCTTTCCTTGGATGGGAGAAGAGGGTCCACATGACAGATTATTTCACTGATGTTGAGCAAAAATTGCCAGACTGGTTAAGGTTGTTGCTGGGAGAGATTGAAACTGCAATTATGTCAGGTATTAAATCTAGGCTTGGTATCATGGGCTTCTAGCGTGAGTGATGCCATGTTGGGCCTGTGTTTTTCTCTTCAACGATATCAAAATAAGACTACATTGCTTCCTTTGTTCCTTTTTTGCTAGGTTGTAAATTTGACATATTGATGACTGAAAAGATAAGAAGGAATGAATCCTAATCAATTTAGAAAACTAATGAGCAGTCTATTCAGATCAAATCAGATGTGTGATTACTTAGTGTTCTTAGTTGATTGTTTGTGTATGTTAGGTGCATGTTTGGGCATATATTTTACATCATGAACCAAAAGGGAAATTGGTTGTCTACATATAAAATGTTGAGTTGTGGTAATGGTGTGAAGAAAAAGAAAGTGGGGTTAGAGTAGTATTTATAACATTCTTTTTTTATTTAAATTTTATTGATTTTTAGAGAAACATCAATTTTGTTGTTCCCATTTATTTGTGCGCTCATTGGTTGCCTCTTGTGTGTACATTGACTGGGATCTGACCCATACCCATGGCATGTCCAGATGACACTTTAACCAACTGAACCACTGGGCCAGGGCTTCTACAACAATCTTCACTTGAAGGAACCTATTACAGAGGCCAATAATAAGTCCTATTTCATGCTGATTTCATCACAATAAGTTCTTCCCCTGTTGGGCAGAGTCAGGGCTAGAAGGTGAGTGCTGGTGTTTCCACTCATCCTTGTAAATTGTTTAGTGTGTTGAGAGCAGACCACTAGACTGCATTGCTGGGCTTGCCACCCCAGGTAGCCTGTTTACATCTGGTTACCACCTCTACCTTCTACTGCTACATGCTTGTTTAGAAGGTTTGTGTATTTTGATTTTTATTGGGAAAGGGGGCTATAATTTTGAAGTTTATTAGTTTGGATTGTTTTCTAAGGTAAAGAGGGTACAGAAGTAGGTAGAACATAACAGCACTTACTGGTTGATTATGCAGGCAATGTTTTAAATTATTTTACATGTGTAGTAACTAATTTAGTGCTTCTGGAGGTGGGTAGTATGACCATTTTAATGAGGAAATTGAGGTACATTGTAAAGAACTTACCCAGGGATACAAACTGAACAATCATGATTTCTAATGAGGATTTCGTATTGGTTTTAAAGTGATAGTTTCTTTGATTTAAATTGTTATGCTTGTACATCAGTTTGAAATTCAAAAACATATTTATTTATTTATTTTAGATTTTATTTATTTTTAGAGAGGGGGAAAGGAGAGCAATGAGGCCAAGAAACCTTGATGTGCAAAAGCTATTTTGATTAGTTGCTCTCGGCCCCCAAGTGGGGACCTGGCCTGCAACTTCAGCAAGTGCCCTGACTGGGAATTGAACCATTGGCCTTTTGGTTTGCAGGCTGGCACCCAGTCCACTGAGCCACACTAGCCAGGGCTGCAAAATGCTCTTGCTTAGGTGTCACTGTGCTCTAAGGAAAAGCTGCAGCACTTAATGGTTATATAGCTGTCTTTAATGTGTCGTATTTCACGTGAATAAACTTTTTGTTTATGCTTGTGTGTGTTTTCAGTCCAACCCATTGTTTTCTTTGCCATTGAATTAGATAATACCTTAGATAATGAGATCCTGTGAACAAAGGCTTGTGTTCACAAATGGGAGTCCATTTTGCTTGGGACTGACTGAAGTTGTGTTGGAGCCATATCAAGTACTGAGCCCCTGGACCACTGAAAATGTGAATGGAACAGTAATGCTTGAAAGACAGATTTGTTGAAGTGCATTTGGAATGAGATAAGGTCTGAAGTAAAGGGAAATCTTTTCCTTGGCATATTACTGATTCTCTTTATTATTCTTTTGCTTTAAAACATGTAGTTTGTAAGGATTGGCTGTTTAACCATGAATGAGTAATTTTCCATAAAGGAATAGTAACCATTTTGTTATATAATCTGTGGGGCAGTAGGCCGATAGGGAATGCATCTTGGTTTTTGGAGTGGTATGGACTGGGCGTGGGTTTTAGAAGTCAGATTTTAATTCCTAGTTTTTCCCACTTAACCTCTTGTGTGTATCTGAGCAAATTGCATAATGTTTTATGTGCAAATAAGAGGAAACTATGAAATAGTCCACTACAGAGTAGGCTATAAATGTTAGCTTTTTCCCTCATTGAAAGTAAGGAGAACTTAGAATCAGGTTTGCTGTAATGATGAGTTACTTGATAGCTCATGTCTGGACATGTAGCCATTATAAGATCACAAAATAATTAGTTTATGCTTTGATTCAATCACTTTGTTCTCTTTCTTCACTGTAAGGTTTTCTTTGTATTTAAGTTC